GGGGGGGGGGGGGGGTAACCACCTATCCAGAACCCAAAATCCAGCTGGCGATGCGATGAGGAAATCACCTCCAAACCTCACAGTTCAGGCATAAAGGCAGGAAAATATCACTTCCAAACTCCACCATCTAACCACCAGCCACAGGCCAAGGGGATATCACACATACTCGAATCCCAGAACTCAAGGACAAGTACCATCCCCACGCAGTGCTTCAGTGGAGGTGAAGGATTCCCCCTATCCTGAGGGTGGGGAGCAATCACCCTCATTCATATCCAGCCCTAAGGGGGTCAGTGCCCCTCAGGCCAGGGGTAGTGACAGCCCCGAGGATCCCACAATGTCAGCCAGAGCTGCCTCTATTCCTCGCACCCCCGTTGCCCAACACACACCCTCCCCTACCTGATATGGCGGCGGCGGCTCCTGATCAGGCTCCGTCCCCTCGCCAAAGCTAGCCCGGTCGGACTGAGACTCGTGAAGCAGGGAGATGTCATCCGAAGTGGGGGACTTGAGGCAGTTCCCCATCTTCCGGGGCTGGGGTGTGTGATCTGGGGAAGGAAGAAAGCAGTAGCGGGGTCGTTCGCACGCTCCGCGGTCAGCCGCGGTCAGCGAGGTGGGGTCGGGCGTCAGGCCGGGGCTCAGGCGGCGACGGCTAACCCGCCCCCCGGCGCCGTCGAAGAGCCGCTCATGCCAGCCCCCGGGGTTGGGGGCTTAAGGCTGGGCCGCGGGTTCCCTGGGGTCGCGGCGGTAGCCTCCTACGAGGCGGCGGCGGCGGCGGCGATGGGGGGGGGGCGGGGAGACGAAGCACTTCCCCACCCCGCCCCCCCGCGGGGCGGCGGCGGCCACAGAGCTGCTGGGCCTAATCCAGGTCAGGAGGGGGGGGCGCGGCCGTCGAGGCTCCCTCAGCTGCTGCCTCAGCTGCTGCTGCCCCCGCCGACGCCGGGGCTGCAGCCGCGGGCCTCATCCTACTCCGCCTGAAAGCGGCGGCGACGGCCAGAACGAGGCCAGCTGCGGCCCTGCGTCACGCCGCCGTGCGTGCTCTGGTCCCGCCCCCGGCGCTGGGAGGCGTGGGCGGCTCTCAGCTGCGCGTTCCCCCCACCCCGCCTCTCTCGCCTTCTCCAGTCCTAAGCAGCTGTTCCTGGACCTGCGTCAGTTTCTGCTTCTCTGACAGTCTGAGACGTGACTCCGAAACCTCTCCTGCGTCTCCCGTGCCTCCCCAGACGCCTTGCGCCCACCTCGCTTGTCTCAGCTCTTACCTGTGCGCTGTTTTGACAGTCTTCTCACCACCTTCAGCCAAGTGATCTATTTTTAAACCTGTGTCTGAATGGATCACTCCCATGATTAAAATGTTAAAAGGTTTACCATTTATCCCTTCAGAATAGAGTCCAAACTCACTAATGAACCTTCCCTACTTCCCAAGTCACTTCCTAAACCTCCTACATCACAGCCAGAAAGATTCTTCTACCAATTGTTCTATTTCTTTCCATTCCCACCACCATAGTACAAGTTACCATCATTTCTCTACTGTAATACTTTGACCTCTTTCCCCTGCATTCCCCATTGCTCCCATTCAATCCACTATTTGTACAGTTGAGTTATCTTTTTTCAATGTAAATATGGTCATGTCATTCCCCTAGGGGGAATTTAAGCCTTTTAAAACCTTCAATGGCTTCCCAATGCTGTTATGACTAAGTATTAATTGTTAAATTGTTTACAAATCTGGCTACCTCTCCTATCTCATTAGCGGCGTTGTTCCCTGCATATTCTAAACTCTAGGATGTCTAAATAAAGTAGTTTCAGTTATCTAGAGGACTATTCCCTCTGGCTGAGGCCTTTACCCATATTTTTTCTCTGACAGAAACTCACTTCTTCCCACTCCTGACCTTATACCTCCCATTAAGCTAAACTTTATCCCCACTTGTCTTCTTGGACTCAACTTTGGTGCCACTGGGAAGCCTCTCCTAACCCTCCAGTCTGGGTTAGTTGCCTCCTCTGTGCTCTCAGTCCCTGAGCTTCTCTCTGCCACAGCCTGATCAAGCTGAATCATCTGTACCTCCTCTGTGCAAGGCCTGGCACATTGCCTAAGGCAGTGTAGGCTTTCTTCTTGGTTGAATGAACAAAGAGCTCAAGAAGCAATGTATGTAAAGGAGGGAAATAAGAAAGATGAGAATGCTCCTAATAGTCATTCATTCAACAAGAGACTAAAATTGGGTCTTGACTCCATTTCTTTCATTCATCATTTACTGATTTTTTTTTTTCCCCTAGACCCTATGCTAGACACTAGGGAAACCTGGCTAGTTCCTGATGGAGTCCAGAGTCCAGCTGGGAAGACAAGTAAACAGATGAGTTCTTCTGTCACCCACCACCAAAGGTTTTTAGAGGGCACAGAAGGGAGTGATTAGACCATTGGGTGAGGATCAGAAAGGATTCTTGGAAGCAGAACTGTGTCAAACTGGCATGGGCCTAAGTGCTCTAACTTTGGAGTCCCTATTCTATAAAATCACATATTTTATTTAAATGCACTCATATCTCATATTAAATATAACCATTTTGCTATTTACCCTCTTTTCCAAGACTTGCCTTCCTTCCTATTAATGGCTCCCACCTAAATAGGTATATCCCTAATGCCATGTTTTTTATCAGAATCTTTCACACATCCCCAAGACTCATTACTTAATTCTCTGGCTTGGACAAATAAAGTTATTGGATCATTTGGGAGGAAATTTTCAGGCATTTGCCTCTTTTCTCCTATTGCCATTTTCCTTGTCCCCTCTGAACTATTGCGACAACTTCTTAATGAAGCACTTGCCTCTGCACCATCAATCCATTCTCCACACTACTGCCGTGAAAAATGTAATCAGAGAGCATTCATAGACTTGTGGTTCAGAAATTTAGCATGGCATTAAGGCCTTGAACCATTTGGTCCCATCCTAATCTTCCATATGACTCTGACTCCAACCAGGCATCCTATATTCCAGCCATATCACACTACTTACCATGCCCTCAGTTTTCACTGTGCTTTTCCACTTCTGATCTCTTGCCATGCTGTTCCCTTCATTGAAATCCAACTATCTTTAAGACCCTCCTTAAATACTACCTTCTTCATGTAGCTGACCTTTATTTCACTTAGTTGGAATATATATAACTATGTAAAATAAACGGGATCTATTATTGTATTATATTGTGTATATCTATATAACATATGTGAATATTTTAACATAATTCATATATATAAACAGATATGTATGTATATATATATATATATAAAATCATAACTTCCATTTATTAGCCTGAACCTTGAAAGGTTAATGTTGACATTCCTGTTTTATAGGAATAGAAACATGGCTATTCAGGAGTAAAGCCAAGATTTGAATTATATACCAGTTGCCTTTATTAGGTTGTGGGAGGGAACTACAACTTTTTTTCAGCCTGATATTCCTTTCTCAGTGTATAAAAACAAGAAAATGGGGGAAGACTCATCTTGAATGCCTTTAGCATCTACATGTATCTTTGTAAGGAAGTAGTTATTCAATGATCTTTCTTCCTAATCCAGATTTAGAAAAGAACCCTTGGGAAGTGTCCTGTAGACCAGAGAGTGTGATCTAATCACAAAACATAATTTTAAATAAAAAAAGTAACCAAGACTATTGAAGTGACAAAGGCTCTCCTAGACCCAACTCTAGTCAGGCTCCTCTAAGCCCTCAAGGCCCTAACCTTGGGTTCTGTGCTTAGCCCACTTATTCCAGTTTTAGCAGGATTCTAGCTGAGTTAGTTTAGCCAGAAACCCCCTCCTTCAGTATCTGACCACCTTGGCCTGCCTTCAGCAGAAATCCTATCAATGGGTTTAGCCAGAATTCCCTTTTACCTCTGATGTTTCCTCTTTGTAATTTTCCATCTACTTTCTCCCACCCTAGTCCTTGCCCATAAATCCCCACTTGTCCTTTTTGTATAATACAGAGTGAAGTCCAGTTCTATACTGAGGTTTCTCTTCCCCTTTTGCAATAGGTCCTGAATAAAATTTGCCTTCACTGCTTTAACTTGTCTGGTTCTGGTTCTCTCTGACAGCAGGAGATCTAATGCAGAAGCCGATATGAAAATCTAGTACCCTCTCTTGAGTCAGATTTTTAAAAATAGTCTTTATCTTTTTAGACCAGTTTTAGGTTCACATCAAAATTGAGCAGAAGGTACAGAGATTTACCATATACCCCTGCCCCTGTACATGCATAGCCTCTCCCATTATCAACACCCTGCACCAGAGTGGTACATTTGTTACATTGATAAGCTATCACAAAAAATCCTTGCTTAAGTTAGAGTTCACTCTTGGTGTTGTACATTCTATGGGTTGAGACAAATGTATAATGATGTGTATCTACCATTATAGTGTCATACAGAATAGTTACACTGCCCTAAAAATCTTCTGTGCTCAGCCTATTCATTCTTCCCTTGCCCCTAACCCCTGGCAACCACTTATTTCTTAACAGACTCCATAGTTTTACCTTTTCCAAAATGTCATATATTTAGAATCATACAGCATGTAGTCTTTTCACATTGGCTTCTTTCACTTAAATGAAAACTAAGGTTCCTCTGTTTCTATCCATGGTTTGATAACTAATTTCTTTTTAGCACTGAATAATATTCCACTCTCTAGATGTCCCACAGTTGATTTATTCATTTATCTACTGAAGGACGTTTTAGTTGCTTCCAAGTTTTGGCAATTATGAATAAAGCTGCTATAAATATCTGCGTATAGGGTTTTTCCCAATTTTTTTATTGTAGTAAAATACACTTAACATAAAACTTACCACCTTAACCATTTTTAAGTGTACAGTTCAGTATTTAATACGTTCATAATATTTTGCAGCCATTACCACCGTTCATCTCCAGAATGCTTTTCATCTTGTAAAACCAAAACTACCCATTAAACAATAACTATCCTTTTTCCCCTCCCCTCAGCTCCTGGTAATCACCATCCTACTTTCTGTCTCTATTATTTTGACCACTCGAAGTATCTTATATAAGTATAATCATACAGCATTTGTCCTTTTGTGACTGGCTTATTTCATTTAGCATAATGTCTTCAAGGTTCATCCATGGTATAGTATATTGCAGAATTTCCTTCCTTTTTAAGGCTGACTGCTGTAATATTCCATTATATGTATATACCACATTTTGCTTATCCATTCATTCATTGATGGACACTTGGGTGGCTTCCACATTTTAGCTACTATCATGCTGCTATGAACATGGATGTACAAATATCTCTTCAAGACCCTAATTTCAATTCTTTGATTATATACCCAGAGTGGAATTGCTGTATTATATGGTAATTCTATGTTTATTTTTTTGAGGAACTGTCATACTGTTTTTTCACAGTAGCTGTACCATTTTACATTTCCTCAAACAGTATGTTTGTAGGTTTTTATGTGAGCATAAGTTGTCCAGTTGTTCTAGTACTATTTGTTGAAAAGATTATCTTTTCTCCGTTGTATTGCCTTTGCTCCTTTGTTAAAGATCAGTTGACTATATTTATGTGAGACTATCTGGGCTTTTATTATGTTCCATTAATCTGTTTGTCTATTCTTTCACCAATAACATACTGTCTTCATTATTGCAACTTTATAGTAAGTCTTGAAGTTGGGTAGCATCAATCCTCCAACTTGTTCTTCTTTTTCAATAATCTATTGGCTATTCTGGGTCTTTTTGCCTCTCCATATAAACGTTAGAATCAGTTTGTTGATAACCTCTAAATAACTTGCTGGGATTTTCATTGGGATTGCATTGAATCTATAGATCAAGTTGGGAAGAACTGACATCTTGACAATATTGAGTCTTCCTATCCATGAATATGGACTATCTCTCCATTCACTTAGTTCTTCTTAGATTTCATTAACCAAAATTTTTTAGTTTTTCTCATATAGTTCTTATACATATTTTATTAGGTATGTATCTAAGTATTTCATTTTGAGGCGTGCTAATGTTAAGTGATAGTGTGTTTTTAATTTCAAATTCCATTTGTTC